AGAGGGCTTCGGGAGACAGGGGTGACCAGATGGACCGGAAAGGCAGGGAGGGGCCAGAATGAAAGGAAGGCGGTTGCTAGGAGACCACTCTCCACTCTCCACTTGCATTTCTGTACGCCTGGGAGAAGAGTCATTGATAGTTCCTATTCCAGACTCTTTGAAAGTATTTCAGTAGCCTTGGAAGATCTAGATAATTTTTCCCTTCTGGGGAAGAGGCATCTTTTTTTTCCTGGTCAGGTTAATAAAATAATGTCTCTCACCTTGGAAAATAATGTCTTCCTTCAGGGTAACGAGGACAGGGTTGCTAGGACCCTTCTTGAAGAGATTGTTTCCTAAGCTGGAGGGTTCTAAGCTGTGTCACAGACCTACCTGGGCCCAGCTCTGTAGCACCCTTGGAACTGGGCAAAAGAGCAGCCTCAGAAGACATGAAACTTGAGCCACCCTCCCTGCCATGAGCAATGAAGTCCTTTGCCTCTGACCCACGGGTCTCATGTCCTCTGGCACCTGTGGAACTGTGGCTAGCTGTCCTGATAGCTTGTAAATCCACTCAAACCTCATGCTCTTGACAGTTTTTGACAAGGAAGAGGGAAGAAAGACGGGTGAAAAGCACAGAATAGTGAGCTGTTGGGAGAACTGGCCATTTTAAGGCAAAGCCTGAGGCAAGAAGCGGGAGCTGAGACTGCATTAGGAAGCTGGGTTGACCCCGGGTGGACTTGGTTGGCTGCACAGGAGCCTGGAACTGCTCCACGGTGGGGGCCACTGAACCCCACAGCGGCAGGCTGGGGAGAAGAGATGATACCTGGGCACAAGCAGGGGTGCAGGGAGTGAGGCAGGAGACGAGGGCGTGGCAAAAACTGGCTTGGGAAGGAGGTGTGACCTGTGAACTACAAAATCCCAAAACCCTTGGGCCAGCGGTTATAGCTCAGTGGCATAAGCGCCTGCCTGGCAAGCGCAAGGTCCTGAGTTTGACTCCCGCTACCTAAAAATAAAAACCAAAACCCTGCGCAGCGGTGGACTTCTCCAGATAACTGGAGCAGGTTTTGAACAGCAGGCCTAGACCGGAAGTGAGCCTGAGGCGCGGGATCGCAGCACTGCCTCTCAGAACCTGGCTGTAGAAGTTCTCTGGGTTTCCCCGTGAGCAGCCAGGGCTCTCATAGCTTTCTACAATAGCCACGCTGTTTCCTGGATGCAGCGTGTACTTTTGTCCTTGCTCTTACCCTCTTTCTATTTACTCGGCCCAAGCTCACTGCGCAGAGCCAGCTTCTCTCCCACTCTTCCTTTTTATTTTCTCGAGTAAATTTTGCCACTGCTTTTTGCCTGTTTCACTCAGTTCTTTATCTGAAGCAAGAAGAACCTGGAATGCAACTCGCGGAGGTAAGGGGGGTGGCATTTCCTTGGGGAGCCACTTGTTAGAAACAAGCTACCTGGTAACAAGAGGAGAGCTAGGTATGTTGGGGACATGGTGAGAATGTAAAATGAGCAGTGTGCAGTGGTTGACTGGTGGATTTGAAGGAGAGGGAAGATCCTAGAAAATGGCCAGAGCTCTGGCGTGGCTGCCGTGCTGCCAGCTGAGACAGGAGACCGCAGGCTTGCAAGGGCACAGGTCCCGTCAGCTCTGGGTGTGAGGATGTGACGTGCCTGAAGGAACCCGAGTTGTGGTGCAGACACAGATGTGGCTGGGGCAAGGCCTCAGTTCTGGTAAGGGTTGACTGTTCCAGAAAGCCAGGGCCCAGGGTCACAGAGGGAAGGTCCTTGGAAGACACTTGCCTGCCGCTGGAGGTCCGTACCTGTCTCGTGGCCAGCAGCCAGGCCACTCCTAGACCTCCTGGATGGTCTGGTGACCATCGCCCGTGGGAGCCTGCAGCTGCCTGTGCTGGCTGACTTCTCACAGGGGAAATGGGGTGACCAGTTCCCTGGGGATGTATGCCCCCAAACAACTAAAACAATTCACTGCCTTCTTCCGAAAGAGAGCTGAGAAACAGAGAAAACGATAAAAAGGCGTGGAAGAACAACCAAAGTCAGAACTAGAAAAAGCTCAGAAATGAGACAGCAGGCGTGTCAGCCAGCTGTCACTCACTATCACAAATGTGGGAGCTCATCAACTTCTAGAGAGAAAGGGTTCGGTTCTGGCTGACAGTTTTGGAGGTTTCTGTCGTGATCCATTGCCTTGGGCCTGGGTCAGAACATCATGGAGGACCAAACTGACAGGGCGCATCCCCATGAATAAGACCTTCCACAGGCCTTAGTTCCTAACGGTTCTACCACCTCCCAGAGGACCACGCTGGGGACAGGGTTTTAATACACATGCCTCAGGGGTGTTTAACATCAACTCTAGCAGCAGGAGGGAAAAATACAAAAGAAAATCATTTCAGAAAAGAAGTCAAACTGGGTGTGGTGGCACACGCCTGCAATCCCAGCGCTCAGGAGGATGGGGCAGGAGGATCACGGTCAGGCCAGCCTGGGCTACATAGGCAGTTTGAAGTCAGCCTGCACTGCATAGCAAACCCTGTCTCAAAACAAAACAAAAAGAAAAGAAAAAAAGGAAGTCGAAACTAGGAGGGACACGGACTAAACAAACATGAGAAAATGCTTGAATAGGAAAAGACAGAACATATAAAATGCTGTTTAAAAAATGAAGGCTACAAAAGCATGGCTTATGAAAGGAAAAGAGATAACTTTGGACTTTTTTAATATTAAAAATAAATACCTGTGTGCAAAAGGTACTGTTGAGAAAATGAAGAGACAAGCCATAAACTGAAAGAACATTTGTGAAGCATATAGGATAAAAGATTTGTATGGGGGCTGGGGA